GGATTCTGGCTTCTGCCTGGGTGTGGCAGCCCATCTGGACTAGAAGCAGCCCATCACAGCAGTGGAGAAGCCACAGTGGACTCTCAGCTCGTCTAGTGGCTAGTTGGTTTGCCTCTCCACAGTTTGCATCTCCACAGTTTTTGCTTCTAAAAGGGACACAAGAACATGTTAAGAATCTTTTCGTTTACATGCCTAGCACCTAGCTCTTTCTGGAATAAGGCAGGTACTCACTGAAGGTGTGGGACTGAAGCAACCAGGAAGCACAGGACCAGACACTGGAAGAGGAGTCTGGGCACTTCCCTTCCTGCCTCCGTCCCAGCAGTGGCTCCATGAGGAGAAGCGTGGGGAGTTAGCCAGCAGTGTTTAAGTGCTGGTGACCCTTCGAACAAGGCCATTGCCAGGGCAGTGTGTGACTGTAGTGTTCACTTCCGCGTGATGTGTCATAGTTTTACTCTGCTCTTTCAACATTTGGAATTGTAGCATTTAAAAATGGAAAAGCAAGCCTTGTCCAAGGAATGAGTCCCCCCTCCCTCTTTCTATTCATAGATTAACGCTGTGCAATGGAAAATTTCTGAGCATTAAATCCAAATGGTTTTGTTTTTTGTTTTGTTTACAAAGGTGGGGAGAACTGACCTTTATCTAATTATGCCTTTTGCAAGAATACTGAGCTAACTGTAGAATACGGCAGACAAATCGTCCCTCCTAGCCTTCTAACTGGAGGGGGAGGGCTGACCCAGATGCTGACTACCTATTATTCATTACAGCACCATCACCGCCTAAACACAGCACCATGGTAACTGGCTCAGTCTCAGCCCCACCCTTTTATTGCCCACACCCTTTTCTTCCGCCTCTTGAACGTTGCCAAGAGTTGTGCAAAGAAAGCGAGTTACCTCTGTTCCACCCAAGCATGCGGGAAGGAGGGACTGCAGCAGGGCAATGGGGGAGGGGAAGTAACTCCACTTCTGCAGTGAGACAGTCCTGGAGTCCTTCTCCCCAGGCTGGCTATGTGACCTTGGAGAAGTTACTCTCTGAGCCTGGCTTTCTTCAAAGATAAAGTGGGAACGAGAATAAATGCAGCTCACCTGACTATCTGGAGCATTAAGTGCACTAACAGGTAGTGTATGGTGAGTCTTCAGTGAAGAGTTTCTCTCCTGCGACGGCAGCTAAAAGGGTATATGTGTGAACCTGAAAACCAGATCCCAGTGGGGACGCCTGGGGCCGGAAGTGTTCTCCAGACTCCCTGACACTCCCCCCGTGATCATATTTCACTGTAACTGCCTGGAGCACATTCCAGCAGAAGTTTCTCATGGTCAGGACAACCTCTCTGAACAGCTTACTTCCTCAGGCTGCTTTTCAGTAGGGGACCCAGCAAAGGCTACTAGGTAGGAACCATTAACTCATTCCCTAAGTGCCTGCATTTCTGCTTAGCATAAGTTGAGACAGGAGGCAAACCCCGCTAACAGCAATTATAAGCAACACTTCAGCCCTTGGTATTCTTCCTACAAGACCCTTAGGCCCCACACATCTGAGGAGATGGTGGGAGAAATGGAAACAATAATTCCCCTTGTTCTTCCTGGCGGGTTCTTTTCCAAAGGCAGTACTTGACAGGAGCATCTTCCAGGATTTTCCCAGTCCATTTAAGGGCATCTAAGAGAAATGAAAAATATTTTCACTCCACCCTTTTCTTTCCTCTCCCTCTTGTTTCCTCCCCTTGCCCTTCTTCTTGTTCCTGTTCTCATCTCCTAACACAGGCAGCTTTTTCAAAGTATTCTGGCACCAAGCACTCTACAGAGAATGCCATTTTATCCTACTCTAAAAAAAGTTTATTACAGTAATAATAATTTGAAGCAGAAAGTTCAAGGCCAAGTTAATTTTTTACTATTTTTTAAAAACTATTTATTCTTTTTAATGAATAAAGTACTATATGCTTGTTGGGAGAGGGGGGAATCAAAAAACCCATATGTGTGTACAGTATAAAAACCATCCATTCTCATTCAGTCCCATCAATCCCATTCCCTGGAGGCAATGACCACTTAACAGTAGGGCATGCATTCTGTCATTTTTGGTCATTTGACAGATATATAGGGATTGCCTACTATGTTCTGGGCAGTGTGTTAGCTAGGTGCTGGGACCAGTGGTAAACAAACAAATCTAGATATTTATGAATATGTGTTTATCTGTCATATATATTGGCAAAAACGAGATCATGTTTTTTATTAAATAATATTCACTTTTCCATGTTAGTTTGTAGAATGAAACATATACATAAATAAATATTTATGATTTTTAACAGCTGTGTAGTATTCCATTGTAAGGATATATCAAAACATGAACAACGTGTACATGCTGTTTTAAAAATAAGCAGTATTCCCTTGGCTTGTAGAATGTAGAACAACCTGTTTCGCATGGTCCACTTGAGCAGAACCTGGCAGTCTGGCTGGGAATGCTCTGGGGCCTGTCTCCTGCACAAGGGTGGAGAGACAGCCAGCCCACAGGCAGGCAAGGCCAGCACTAGGAGCACAGTGTGCCTGCTGAGGACTCAGATGTGGTCCCAGCTGGCCAGTGGAGTAACTGAGCTCTCACCAGATCCCTCTCACTCTAGAGCTCCGGCCACCACAGCTTCCACCACAAGCTGCTGCCCCAAGTCATCCTGTCTCCATCATCTCCTTAGGCAATAAATTCTGTAGGCTACTAATTAAATAAGGAGACAGGAGGAAAAACTAAACTTGCAGTCATGAAAAATGCTCATGAATATGTGTGTGTGTTTTATTATTCACTTATTGATCTTAGAGAGAAACATCGATTTGTTGTTCCACTTATTTATACATTCATTGGTTGATTCTGTATACGCCCTAACCTGGGATCGAACCCACAACCTTGGTGTATCAGGACCATGCTCTAACCAACCAAGCTACCCAGCCAGGGCTGTGTTTTCTTAAAAGCAGTCATTTTTTTTCCCCCTAACGGGATGGCTCAGTTGATTGGAGCATCATCCTGTACACTAAAAAGTTGCAGGTTCGATCCCCCATGAGGGCAGGTGCCGGAGGCAACCGAATACTGTTTTCCTCTCACATCAATGTTTCTCTCTCTCTCTTCCTCTCTCTCTCTAAAATCAATGAAAACATATCCTTGGGTGAGTATTAAAAATTTAAAAAGCAGTCCTTTTTTCATGCCTGTCAATGGGGCAGACTTTGTGTATTTGTGCGGGTGTGTTTGTGTATGTGCGTGTGTGTATAGGGGTCTGCGTACGTGCGCGTGCTCCCAGGGATGGGTTAAGCGCAGCAAAGGATGTTTTACACGGTTAGAAATATTAAGCAGCTCTTGCTCTATCCTCTCCCCACCCTCTGACCCCGATCTCCTCCTCTGAGCTGCTAATGAAGAACCGATTTTGACGCCCGGGTTCAGTCCCCTCCCCAGGCCCGCTCGGGCCGGGGTGCCGCGCCGGCGCCGAGGTCCGGGGTCGCCGGGACGTTCCCAGCAGCGGCTTCGCGGGGCGGTGGAAACAAAATTGCAGCCTAATTGGTCGGTGGCCTTTTCTAGTGAATGAAGGAGGTTTCTGTTTTAAGACATAAAGTGACTCCTCGGCTGTTGATTCACTGCCCGCAGGGAGGTTTCCGCGCCGAGGCTTCGTAGCCTCGGTAGAAATTTGC